AAAAAACTGACAATGAAGGCTTTCAAAGCGACCTTGCCCTTACAAACCCACTGGCATTTCCTTTTGGGGTGCCTGAGGCAGAGATGGATCAATTCTGGCCACTCTTCCGGTTCCTACATATCTCAGGAATTTTAACATGTAGCTCTCTTCAGGGCTCTTTCTTCCCGATTCAATCGATTCAGCGTTCTATTACGCACTGCACTTCACTGTTCTCCAGGAAGATGACACATTTATCAGGAGCAAGAGACTTTGTCTTAAGCTAACTTTGTATCCCTCTTGCAGATATTTCAAACGGTACTGATTTCTTGGGGGGAGCCCTGAGCAGGTAGGGCTGGACAGGAAGAGCGCCCCCAACCTAGCTCTTCAAGCACAGCAACAGCTTTCTAAAAAATTTATTTATTTATTTAGCACCGCTTTTTTGTGTGGATGCTCTTGCTATGCTTTTGTGTTATGGGTTTTCAGAAAGGGTTTAGCGACTAAAAACTTGAAAATTACTGCACCAGGCTCTTTATAGAGTGACTGTTTACTGAATTACAATAAATTTAAAAATGACCTGACTCTGGGAAAATAGAACACTATAAGCTAACCATAGTTCCTTTTTTCTCTTCTTCCTCCCTCGACCCTTCGACTCCAGCTGTCTCCCACTTTGCTGTCCCATAAACAAAGTACAAAGTATATAACAAGAGTAACAGGGACCCGTCCCAGCTGCAGAAGTTCAAGGACAATGCCGTATGCAGCAGAGTTTTAGCATTTACTTGTCTAGGAAGAAAGTTACAGTAAAAGAAGAGAAACCCCAACCTAGAAAAGGACAATAACTTACAGCTAAAGTGTCTGAAGTGAGGTCATCGAGATTTAACAAGTTCTCCGGAATGGACTCATCATTTCCCACTGGCTCTTTTTTCTGCAGGAAAAACAAACAAACAAAACAAACAACACTATTAAATAAAAAAAGTTCTGACATCCTAAGTGCACATCAAAGTAACATCACATAAACGAATCACAGAACTTCCTACACAGCTGTCTAAGCAAATTGGAAGTAAGAAAAATTAGCAAATTGGAAGTGAGAAGTTAAAAGTTTCAAGTCTCTGTTCTGCCGCTTTTTAGCTTTTTGATCCTGGACAGACTGATTAACCCATCAGGGTCAGAGGGCTGACATCATTGGGAACATGAGAAGGTCTGCCCTGGATGTAGAAGAGTGTGGGCACCAAGACTGGGTGAGCGCAGCCGGTGTGGCTCAGTGATTGAGCATCAACCTATGAACCAGGAGGTCACGGTTCGATTCCCGGTCAGGGCACATGCCTGGATTTCAGGCTGGATCCCCAGTGTGGGGCGTGCAGGAGGCCGGTGCTCAGTGCTGGGGCAGAGGCCTGGGTGTGAATCTATGAATCCCTGTCTACCTGCTAAGAACAGTCCCAGTGCTGAGGCTATGGGGGGGTGGGGGTGGGGGGAGGAATGGATGGATGATGGGATGTTAGAGAGGCAAGGAAAACTTTTTAAGGGAAAAGTCACAAAATCTGGACCTAAGTTTAGAGCAGTCAATGCAAGCTGGCAAATAGCAGGGATGTACCCAGCACTCGTTCCCCCCCCGCCCTCTAATTTCTTGCCTCACCCTTCTTTATAATATTCTGCCAAATCATTTCTAATCCTTGTCCACAGCCAGGGGGAAGATAATTTTAATTAATAAATTAAATTCTCAAAGGCCATTATAACAAGACCTATAGAACCTCAGCAAAACTTGTATAAAAACAAGATGAGCCCTAGCCGGTTTGGCTCAGTGGATAGAGTGTTGGCCTGAGGAACAAAGGGTCTCAGGTTCGATTCCAGTCAAGGGCACGATTCCAGTCAAGGGCACGTGCCTTGATTGCAGGCTCCTCCCCAGCCTGGGCCATGGTTGGGGCACAGTTGGGGCGCGTGCAGGAGGCAACCAATTGATGTGTCTTTCTCACATCGATGTTTCTCTGTTTTTCCCTCTCTTCCACTCTCTCTAAAAGATCAATGGAAAAATATCCTCAGATGAGGATTAACAACAACGACAAAAAAACCCAAGGTGATATTTAGGGTCTGTTTTGCAAGAATAAATAAAATGTGTAGAACATACTCAATGTCCTAAAGGTCTTAAAAATTCTATATATACAATAGGCAATTATATTTATACAACCTCATAGCCACTGTGCAAAACTGAATCATGAGAAAGGATAACATCTCCTAAGGACAAAAGCATAGAAATCCTTTAGACTCATTACACATTCCCACCCACCAAAGCGAGAAGTCAGGATTCCAACCATAACCCAACTTACATCCTTCCGTGACCCAAGCAAAATCATCTCGAAAAGTTGGGAAAGTCTGAACATATCAGAGTCTTGACAAGAACAAGCATAGACTACTGAGGCAGAAAAAAGGTGGCCCAAATCACAATATTTCCCAAGGGAGCTGAGGCTCCCTCGCTATCTGCCAATCCCTCCTGTTGGAAAGTTCTGAGTTCAAGTTCTGACTCTGCAGCTAGCGTAATTTAGGAAAGCCCCTTAATTTCCTCAGGTTATTTCCTTGCCCTTTCTTTATTTTATCTTTTCCTTGCCCTTTAAATAAAGCTGATAATTGTACCACCCACACTGAGGTTTAGAACAAAGATCAAAAGCAAAATGTGATATATACAAAAGGGTTTGTAATACTTTCAAGTGCTATACAAGTGAAAGCTAGCACCATTCCCATGGATAGCAAAGGAGAATACTCCTTACAGGGTTAGCATAAAGGGATCCAAGAATCTATAATAACAAAAGCATAATATGCTAATTAGACCAGATGTCCTTCGGGACAACCTTCAGGTTGAAGCCGGGGCTGTGAGGGAAGCCTGGGTCCCAGGTGCCAGAGGAAAGCTGGTGCCGGCAGCCGGGGGAAGGAAGGCCTATTCTTGCACGAATTTCATGCATCGGGCCTCTAGTGTTATTATAAATGAAAAAACTTAGTCCTATCTTCTTCTTTTTTAAATTTCAGAGAGGAGAGAGGGAGAGATAGAAACTTCAATGATGGGAGAGAATCATCAATTGGCTGCCCCTATTGGGGGATCGAGCCTGCAAACTGGGAATGTGCCCTGACTGGGAATAGAACCGTGACCTCCTGGTTCACAGGTCGATGCTCAACCACTGAGCCATGCCGGCCAGGCTAGCGAAATCTTTTTATTATGTTCTTTACTGGGTCAGGTTCCTAATTTTTAATCTTTTGGTTTAGTTTAGTAAGGGGCACGGCTATGGTGTTTTGGCTAGGATCAAGCCTTGGACTAATGAAAGGACAGGGTCCTCTCATTGCCATGTGCAAGTCCCAGCTGGAAGGCAGGGTCCTCCCAGCACAATCATAGCCAACAGCCGTGGTTGTAAGCTTGAACCTATGGTCCAAACACGTGGCCCCACGTGCCTTGTGGTAGAGTTCAGGTGCATAAAGTTGAATGAGGATGGAACTCATGAGAATGCTGTAAACAACGTGATCATGCCCCTACTTTGCCTCGTGGCATCTGCTATAAAATAAAGACACGGCTTGTGGGCGCCGGCGCTGTCTCCTCATCAGGGAGCAGCGTCCCACTGAGACCCAGCTTTCATTCTCTTGTCTGTCTTTCCTTAATCCTTTCACCCCCCCCACTCAGGATCACCTTTGGCCGCAACAGTTTAGAGGTTTACAACTTAAAAATTAGACAGGCTGTAGGGTGCATTTCATATGTTTTTTAAAAAGTGATTAAGGGGATATTTTTTTAAAAAGATTAAAACATGTACTATTTTGAATACCAAAGGAAGGGCAGAACCAAAACTGAACATTCTTCAAGCATGGAGGGATTTTTTGGATGAAGGCCACTCATTGTTACTCGAAATTGATAATAACTACATGTTCTTGGTATCGTGCCAGGTTCTCTACATTTAACAACTTTCGTTCTCATAATTCTGTTCTAGAGGTGAATGTTCATATTGTCATTTCAGATGAGAAAAACTGAGGCTGAGAAGTTAACTTGCCTCAAGTCACGTGGCCAACAAACAGTCCAGGACCTGGAGACCCTACCCATGCTCTTTTCAGAAAAGAGCCCGACTGCACTAAACAAAGAACCTGAACTCTGCTGTAGGGAAGTCTTTCTGGCACTGGAGGCTGAACTCAAGAAATAACTGGAAAAGATTCTGGTGGGATCTATGTTCTTATTGTAAGAACAGCATAAACAATGGATGACTAGTGTGGCAGGACTCTGGCCTTGCTATAGACTGAAGGTTGAAAGTCAACAGATTCCTATGTTGAAACCTACCCCACAATGTGATGGGATTTGGAGGTGGTGTCTTTCAGAGGTGATTAGGTGACCAGGGCAACCTCATCAGAGACCCCACAGAGCTCCCTGGCTCCTTCCGCCATGTGAGGACACAGCAAGGAGACTGCCTATGAGCCAGGAAGTGGAGTGGGCCTCACCAGAGACCAAATCTACCTGGGCCTTGATCACGGACTTCCCAGCCTCCAGACTGTGAGAAATAAATTCTGCTGTTTATAGCCACCCAGACTATGGCAGCCAAACAGACTAAGACATATCTGAATATAGAAGATGGACTCACCCCCTTACTTCCCTACCTGCCTTCCTTTCTTTCTTTTTTAAAAATATATATTTCTTTATTGATTTCAGAGAGAAAGGAAGAGATAGAAACATCAATGATGAGGGAGGATCACCGATCGGCTGCCTCCTGTACGCCCCCACTGGGGATCGAGCCCACAACCCAGGCATGTGCTCTTGGCCAGAATCGAACCTGGGACCCTTCAGTCTGCAGGCCGACACTCTATCCACTGAGCCAAACTGGCTAGGGCCTTCCTTCCTTTCTTTAAAACACGTACTATTTTGAATATCAAAGAAAGGACAGAACTGAAACTTAACATTCTTCAAGCATAGAAAGATTTCCCCCAGCCCTGGCTGGTGTGGCTGTTGGTTGGGCATCCTGTGAAACAAAAGGTGGATGGTTTGATTCCTGGTTAGGGCACGTGCCCAGGTTTTGGGCTCGATACCCCAGTAGGGGGCATGCAGGAGGCAGCCGATGGGTGTTTTTCCCTCATTGATGTTTCTCTCTCTCTCCCTCTCCCTCCCTTTTTTCTAAAATCAATAAAAGCATATTTTTAAATAAAATAATTCCCCCATATGGGCAAGAAATTCGGTATCCCATGGACTCAGACACTAAAGTAGAAATGATTAACTGAGAATAAGATTCAATACTTCGGCTAAAACTCTCATGGCTGTTAGTTCTCTTACCTTCATTTTCTCTCCAATTGTCTTGCTGCATAGGTTCTCCAGCTTGTTCAAGTTGTCGGTCTGAAATCTGCCTGAAGAATAGAGAACCCAAGAATATTCCAAAGACATGCAGATAAATAAGATTCCTCCCTCCCCTAACCATGGCTCCTTAGGACAGATCTCAGCCCAAGGCCAGAGAGCAGGCAGCTACAGTCTCCGCCTCAAGAAGCTGTGAAACCTGGTAGCTTTAGAGCCCCAAATTTTAGTTGGCATAATAGGGTTCCCCAGCATTCGGTGACAAGGAAAAGGCCACTCTGAGGCCGAAATAAAAATGTATCAGAACCTGGGTGACACTGTTGTAGAGAAATACACCTGGGGAATCAGGAATTAATCGAGTGACTATAAACTGCTCGATTCCCTTCAAGTTCATTTAAGAAACTATGTAGTGCGCAGGGGAATCTAGAAAGAGGGCAGTCAGATTTCTATTCCCGTGAACTTGGTTGCTACATCTCTATGTTAGAAATGGTTAACGTTACTCCCTTTGCTTTGACATCATGCTCATCCTGCAACCTTCAGAGTAATTTTACTTTTTTTTTTTTTAAATATATATTTTATTGGTTTTTCACAGAGAGGAAGGGAGAGGGATAGAGAGTTAGAAACATTGATGAGAGAGAAAGATCCATCAGCTGCCTCCTGCACGCCCCCCACCGGGGATGCGCCCGCAACCAAGGTACATGCCCTTGACCGGAATCGAACCCGGGACCCTTCAGTCCGCAGGCCGACGCTCTATCCACTGAGCCAAACCGGTTCGGCAATTTTACTTTTTACATCTTGATTTTTTTGGGGGAAAGCAGGGTACTAGTCAGCCTACTTAGGTATTCTGGCCCAAATTAACATACTGGTATTGTGGTTCATTAGCCCGACTTTTGCTTCTAAGCTTTTGGAGCAATGTGGTAAAAATCAAGCTTTTAACAGGTGAAATGATGACTAGAAATGCAATAGCATCTAGACACAGCTACTGTTGAAGGCTTTGCCAAATTTTACATTTAAACTGAACTTTAGCCCAGCTGGCGTGGCTCAGTGGTTATGCGTTGACCTATGAACTAGGAGATAATGGTTCGATTCCCAGTCAGGGTACACGCCTTGGTTTCGGGCTCGATCCCCAGTGTGTTAATAATGTAAATTTTGGATCATGGGTTAAATAAAATATATTCCTAAAATCAATTTCATCTGTTTTCCTTTACATTTTTTAAGTGGCTACAAGAAGATCCATAATTATACCTGTGGCTCACGTTGTATTTCTATCAGACAGATTTAAGGTATGTAAGTCACTGCAAGACTTAAGCCTGGAAGCAAAAATGACTAGATTTTCATTTCACATGTCCTTGGGTGTGGCCAGGACTGGGTGAGACTGGGGTGAAACTGAAAGTAGAGTTATTCCAATGACAAAGGCCTGGCTGAAGGAGTCTGCAGTAAAGATTAAGAGGAAATAACAACTTCAATTTATAGTAAAGAGAAATCTCATTCGGAATAGCACTTTTGGGGAGAGGATAGAATTCTGGTGGTTAGCAGATTGCAAGATAGGTGGAAATCCAGTGGCTTCAGAAGTTGTCCATAGAAATGCTTATCATATGCCCAAATGTGTCCTCAGCCTATTACTCTGAATTGAAAAAAAGAAATCACGGTTTGAATCCTTGGAGTTGTAAGAGCCATGGTAAAATCTGTGGTGCTAGGGCTCCATGTTTTATCCAATTCCTTTGAGAGCCCCCGTGGCACCTTGGAGGTGTACAGGCAGACAAATAGGTACCGCTGTCATGGAGGGCCTTCTGAGGCTCGCTGTGTCCTCAGTCAGGGAAACACGATGAGTTCTTAGTGTGGCTCAGGGTTACAAGTCCTTGTTGCAGCCAATGACAGGAGAGCCCCAACTTCTGATCTGAAGTTTGGATATAAAAGAACTTTGATGCAAGATCTGTCAATGTCCTACTCAGGCGGCCAACGACTTGGGAAAAACTCATTAACTCCCTCTGGCTGCAAAGAGAACACTGGAAAGGGGTGCTAAGTAGAAAAGAATCAAACCACAGATGTGTGGAAAATAAACTGCTTTTCATACAGAAGGGCAAAGGCCCTGAACACAGAAGATATTCATGAATTTAAAAAAACCTTTGTCGTCCTAGCCGGTTTGGCTCAGTGGATAGAGCCATCAGCCTGCGGACTGAAGGGTCCCGGGTTCGATTCCGGTCAAGGGCATATTCCCGGGTTGCAGGCTTGATCCCCGGTGGGGGGCGTGCAGGAGGCAGCTGATCGATGATTCGCTCTCATCATTGATGTTTCTATCTCTCTCTCCCTCTCTGAAATCAATAAAAATATTTTAAAAACAAACATGTTTGTGAAGCCCTTACCAAGGGGCAGGTGCAGTGCTCAGTACTGGGAATCTATGTATACATGTGTACATGTGTAACCTGTATGCATATGTACTAGGATACCGTAGGTATTGGGACATACAGATGCCTAAACCACAGCCCTGTCCCTGAAGAACTCACCCCCCTCACCATATATCCATCCATTACGAAAGAGATAAAACTCCCTGTAGATGTGTGCATTATACACAAGAGAAGAACTCACATATTCAAAGGAATTTACTGCGGAACAATGGGTAACCGGGTAACAAAAATCCGATACTTCTGATTCAGTAAAACACTGTTCAGTCAAGTTTTTTCCTTCCAATTAATTTAATTCCATTACAATTCAGATTCAGGTGGTAGGATCTCACAAAAGCGTCACAAACTACCACATTAGAGTGACTGAGACATGGAATTAACAGGCAACCCGAGTTAAACAAATACTCTCTTGGTACCCAATACCCTTATGAACTCAGGAAAATCAGTGTTCCTACTAGAAAGCCACCACACTCTTGGACAGGGACTGCCTTTGCAGTGTGCTGTCATAAACTTGGCTCTCAGCTGGTTGCAGACTTATTGCATCAGACAAAAATCACATGTGCTTGACAGCATCCGGCCAATCGGGGACTACTCCAGTTAATCTAGGCAAAGGATTCTATGATTTTATTTTCGGTTCCAGGTTTTAGCCAAACTCTACCAATATCTTTCCCGGAAAACTTCCACACATCACAATTACACCGCCTCAATAATTACACGCGTTGTCTTGCCTCGCCGCACCCCTCTCCCCATGCCTGACCTACCGCGGAACAGACTTTTCGCCATTTTTAAAGGTATGATCAGAAACCAGGGGGACGGCTCTCCCCACAGCTCCGGGATCACTGCTTTTTAGGCAGAAGCGGGCTCCAAAGACCCCAAATGCTTCCAATGTGGGTGGAGTGAACCTATCACGCTGCAGATGTGACTCGGGCTGGAGCCTTTCATCCTATCAAACTAGGAGATCACGCTGGCCTTGCGGACCAAGAGAGAAAGGCCGGAGGTGACCAAAGATAAGTGTTGGGAAAGGGGAAACCTCCCGCCTTGGCTTTCTCGGGGCTACCGGTGCAGGGGGAAGCCTTGACAGCTCTTGATGCGCATGCGCCATGCTCCTTCCCAGACCACCGATCCGCACCGAGCACGCCCGGGAGGGAGCACGCACCCACCGGCTGACGGAAAAGTAGGACGGTCCCGGCTACCCAAGGGTTTTGGGGGGATAAGGAACGCCTCGGAGCCACCGCATCCTGGGAGGGGGGGTCTCCCGAGGGGCGGGAGCTGCGGCTCCAGGAGCGGGAACAAGATCCGAGAGCTGAAGTTGGGCTTAGATGGGGGACGTCCGGTACTCACATTTTCGCCACTCGCCGTCCGCCTTCACCAGCCGATCCACGAGTCCCGGGTCCTTGAAGCGGTTCTTTTGCGTCTCTCGGATGCGGTCCGGGTCCCCTCCTTTATCCGTCCGAAACAAGTCCAGATCCAACACCATCTTTCCTCCTCCCGGGTCAACAATGAGGAGAAATGAAGCTCGCAGCCAGGGAGTCAACCAGTGACCGACGCACTGCGCCTGCGCGCGGG